ACAGCTAATTATTATGGCATCGCATATGGTAATTCTCACCCCCCCCTGAAATACACACACAAAAATGCTACTTTAGTTGTCTTATCTTATCACTCGTTTTTGTAATCAAGTCCCTTCCCCACGCCCCACCATAAAAAGAAACTTAATTCTGTTTATTGCCTACTTGAAAGGCTGGACTTGGGCTTCCTGACATCGATGCTTGGTACATGATTGAGACAATTGCGGAGAAAAACAGCATAGGATACAAACAACTTGTAAGTCAAATGATTTTATCGGATTCATCATTATCTGCGTATGCATTACAGAACTGTTCACATCCGCCAATGCTTGCTTCATCTGCAATTAAGAAAAGTTCCAAAGATGGTTGGTTGTTTGCTATCATTTGTTCCCGGATTTCATTCTGGATCCTGTAAATTGCGTGTCTAATGTCACATGCAGGCTGCACTTTGGAAAGTGTTAAACTCAGAATAGGTTTTGCAGTTGCATTACCATATGAGTTCTCTCATCTACAATCCTACTTTAATGATTTTCAGATAAAGCTTCGAGGTTTCTTATCCCATATCCAGCAGCTGCGCATTAGTTATTGGGGACTCTCTGCTGTTAAGTCTCAATCCACATCTGCCCATGCAACGCCATCTCCGCATCCCAAAGATGGATCTGATCAGAATCAGCAACCTGCTGAGGCTTCTGTTGTTGGAAGAAGCTGGGTTCAGAGCATGTTCAGCAGGGATACATCTGCAAGGATTAACTTGGGTCGTAGTGGCCGTTGGACTTCTGATGGTGGGTGCCTCATATGTAGTTTTTATCAAGGTTTCGTGGATTAATATTAGCAGTACAATCAAAGAGTTTTTGTTGTTTGTTTACTCTTTTGCATTCAGTCCCGACCGAGAGTGGTACTTCTCAAAGACAAGATTTACCCTCGGCTGGGCAGAAAAAAGTACAAAGCAATATTCGCATTCTTAGGGGTCATAGTGGAGCTGTGACAGCACTTCATTGTGTTTCAAAAAGGGAGGTGTGGGACTTGGTGGGAGACCGTGAGGATGCAGGTTTCTTCATTAGTGGAAGCACAGACTGCTTGGTAAAATTTTTGATATCTCATTTTTCTCATCTTTGGGAGAACCATGTAGACTAAAGATTTTGTGTGGAATATGGATTATGAAGTGTTGAATCATATTGTACAAAATTGCCTAGGTCAAGATATGGGATCCAAGTCTTCGTGGTTCTGAACTGCGAGCAACTTTAAAGGGTCACACGGGGTATTTTGTCTAACTCCTTAAATTCTCATTCTGAGCGATCAGTTTGATTTAGTCTCTTTCGGTACAAGTTCACTACGATGTGCATAGTTTTTTTAGTTTTACTTAAATAAAGCCCTCTCTGAACCCTTCTTTTGCGAGCATACAGACCTGTTCGTGCGATTAATTCTGATCGAGGAAAAGTAGTTTCTGGGTCTGATGATCACTCAGTTATTGTATGGGATAAGCAAACAACCCAGCTTCTAGAAGAGCTGAAAGGCCACGATGCACAGGTTTTTTTGGATAAAATTATGAAAACCAGTATTATTAACTAAATGGAGTCTGCAATCCCTAAATGTGTCATATGTTGATCTTTGCAGGTCAGTTGTGTGCGTATGCTATCAGGTGAACGTGTCCTTACCGCTGCACATGATGGAACCGTGAAGATGTGGGATGTCAGAACTGATACTTGTGTAGCAACTGTTGGTCGTTGCTCTAGTGCAGTTATATGCATGGAATATGATGACTCTACGGGGATATTGGCTGCTGGTGGTAGAGATACGTATGTTAATTCACTGAAATTATATTTGCTTTGGTTATGTTGATTTAGAAGGTGGCTGAGATACGCCGTTAATTGTCTGAAATGAGATATGTTCTATTTCGTCTTTTGTGAGTATACTGTCACTAAATTGTTATCTATATACTGGATATTTGCATTTCAGAATAGCAAATATCTGGGACATCCGTGCTGGCCGGCAAATGCACAAGCTCTTGGGTCATACGAAATGGATACGGTAAGTGGTGTAACCCAAAGTAGTTGCTTTTATTATTTGGAAAAAGATATCAATACAACCTTAAGGAGCCAATATTTGTAGGCTCAAAATGTGGGTAACCGGTTAAATTACCAGCCCACCAACTAAATGCATTGTAATAATACAAGGTCTGCCCAAATACTAACTTGCAGGCTAGGAAATAAAAATAGTTCAAGGATAAATAAAATCTCTAAACCTAAGCTTAAAAGCAAGGTGAACATTCCAGACAGAGAGGACAGGCGTCTTCAGCTACACTAGTGTAGAGATCACAATTTTTGTTTTTCATGGCTTTCCTAGTATTGCCTCTTTGTGCATTTTAATATATCGGTCAGTTTAATACATATATGGCATCCATGCAGCTCAATAAGAATGGTAGGAGACACTATTGTTACTGGTAGTGATGATTGGACCGCTAGACTGTGGTCTGTTTCTCGAGGAGCATGTGATGCTGTTCTAGCATGCCATGCTGGCCCAATATTGGCCGTAGAGTATTCTACACTGGATAAAGGAATAATAACTGGTATGTAACTTACCTTCATGAGGTTACTAATGCAGTTAAAGAACATGGAAGTTTCAAATTGAAATAATGGGTACATGCTTTCCTTTCAGGTTCAACTGATGGACTTCTTCGTTTTTGGGAAAACGAGGATGGTAAATTATCTATGTACAATTTTGAAGTTATTGATGATGAAGTCTTTTTACTTCTTTATCTTTCCTCTACATCATCAAGTGTCAATTATGGGCTTTTGTTCGTTGCATTGGGGCTTTTTCATTTTCTTGCTCACGCGAGACTGTTATGCAAACTTTTCTGGTTGTATATGCAGGAGGTATTAGATGTGTGAAGAATGTCACCATTCATAGTGCTGCCATACTGTCCATCAGTGCTGGAGAACATTGGTTAGGAATTGGAGCGGCAGATAACTCTATGTCCCTATTTCATCGGCCACAAGAGAGACTCGGTGGCTTCTCTAACACGGGTGCAAAAATGGCTGGGTGGCAACTGTACAGAACCCCACAAAAGACTGCAGCCATGGTATAAAGTTCTCCTTTTTTTTTTCCGATTTCTTAGTCGGTTTGGACTCTTTTGACAGTCTTCTGTACCTTTATATATATATATTTAGGTATATAGATATATATAATGTTTTGGTTCTATTCTATCCTGGGAAACGGGTTTGTGCCTTCCCTTTACATAAATGTAGAAGACAAGGAAATTAGTTGTTGCCTTGTGACTTCCTTTACTCAGGCCAATGAAGTCAAAGCTAAAGAACTACATGCAATATTCAAATGTTAAAAATGTTTTACCATTATAGAGTAGAACGATCTTTCCTTGTCCACAGAGATCTTGCTTTTCTAGTTCTCTTTGTTTTGATTCTTAGTGTTGTTATTTTGAAATTTTTAAGAAAAAGTTCTCCATTTGAGTGCACCTATTGTATTCATCCAGGTACGATGCGCATCTTCGGACCTCGAAAGGAAACGAATATGCACTGGTGGTCGTAATGGCCTTCTGAGGCTCTGGGAAGCTACAATCAACATCTGAGGCAACATTATCGTTGTGAGTTCAAATGTTATACTATGATGTTTTTTGTATATCCTTCTTTTGCGTTCTTTCAAAAAGTTTCCAAAAACCTTACTCTGGTTATGCCATTTGTGTTTGGTCCGCAGCTTCTTTTCATTTGCTTCATCAATTCATGCGGAAATGTGATTCAAAGAGTTGGCTAGCTCCAGCTAAATATTGGACTTGGTTGATGTAATATTTCAGCGGTGAAATGTACAGAAAAGTGAGGACTCATTACAAGACTGCGAAGCTACCCTCATGGAATGAAGATGCCAATGCCATACCCCAACATTCACTGATTCTCTGCGTTTTTTGGGGCAACCAGATGTGGAAATGTGTAATCAACGGCTAACTGGTCGGTTTTATTAGCTTATTCAAGTTTTGGATCACATTGGGCTTTAGATTAAGGATTTTAGACTTACTCTGTCTGTTTGAATTTTTGTTGTTTTCACTCTTACACATCAGGATATAGCACAATATATATCGGAATATTGCATTAGTATATAAGAGAGAGGTGAGTTTGACGGTGTGAGTGAGTGAGTTTCAATCAAGATTTTGTAGCAATTGATGTCCAGTTAGTATGTTTGTTTAGATTAATGTTGGATCTCTCATCCATTAAGTCTATATATTTATTAGTGTTCTAAAAAAACTTCAAATAGAGGTTTGTACTCAAATCTGACTTTTACATATTTTGGAACATGTATTCTGACTGCGGGCGAAAGCCAAGCTTATTACAGAGAAGTCATCTAGAATGATCCCATATTGCCTTACCTCGGTTTCAAGTTTCGACCGTATGAGTGCAGCTAGAAGTTGTATGTACACGAGAACGTCGCATCTTATCTCGTCATCTTGGTTTCCAACAGCACGATTCACGTATCATAATGTTATTCCATGTCTTGAGATGTCATTGACCTTGCTGCTCGCTCATGCACACTTATCGAGAACCGACCCTATGAGTCAACTATATTGCCGAAACATCCTAAACATTCATCTATTCTGGTACTATCGAGACATGAATTTTTGTGCCCATGTCAAGTCGATTATAGATACGGTACTAGGTAGCGGGTGCATAGATCAACCTCTGACACATGGGTTGGGACGCAATGTCAACACACTCGTTTTGTTCGACAATGTACTAAAAGAATCTACTTCAAAGAAAAAACGCTCAAGACATCCATCTTGCAAAACTCACATACACTATGATACATATGTGTGTCATAGAGTAGCTCATTCCAACCACAGGGCCTAAGGATGGTAGAGAGTTGACGGTCATCCTTATCTCCAATATATTAAGAAACATTTTTTAGTGTAACAGGAGAAGACAAGATTTTGACGAAGGGTCATATGATTTCGTGTTGCATCCATTGGATGTTCAAACGAAAACAAATTTGGCGAGCACTCAGACTTGACTTCAGCTGCATTGCCCAAAATCATACCGAATCTTCAACTTTCTAAGTATCCAGAACCCTACCGAGTCCTTTTTCCAACATGTCTCTCACACTCATTATCTATCCTTCGCCTTTGTCTTGGTTTATACTCAGTTTAGCTTCAAAACCCACTCTTCTTTCACTCCTCGAACTTCGCATATCTTTTCGTCAACTTCTTCCATTACTGCGTCGATGTCTACTTCCTCGCCTCCGATCCCCGATCATCTGGCTGTAGATGACAAGAAGCCCGCGCCGCCGCCAAAGCCATGGCTCATCGTGGGCCTCGGGAATCCCGGGAAGAAGTATGATCGCACGCGCCATAATGTCCGTATGTTCCTATCTCTGCTATATGATATCAAAATTTCTCTTTTCGTAACTAAACCGAACGAAAAGATTATGCTTTACTTTCTGTTTAATTAATGAAGTATGCGTGGGAAACCTCTTAGGGCTGTTTCCCGAGCATAAACTTACGATTATCTCGAGAAAATTAAGATTTACGATTGATTATTAGTGTTATCTGGATGGCCTTTATGAAGACGAGTTTAAACACTAGCAGTAGCTAATGCTATGGCTAAATTTCCAGCTAGGTTTTGAGATGGTGGATCATGTAGCTGAAGCTGAAGGGATTTCCAGGTAGGTCTTGTGGGCATTCATCTTAATACCTGGAGCTACAGCGGTAGGTTCTCAGTAGTATCTTTCTGGGCCTGTTTCATACCCTATGCCTTATCTTTATATTTTTATATATCTCAACAGAAGTTGCATTCATGATGAACAGTTTGTGTGGTCATTTTGGCCCAATCTATTCTATGCTTCGTATCTGAACAATGCTTTTTTTTTATTTTCTATTATCTGTGAGGCATCTCAGCAGTGCATGTGTTGTCCATCCTGAAAAAAAGAAGCATATTCCATTTTAATGGATTTCTGGTTGAAAGGCTGTGCTTCTGCAGAATTTTGTCTCACAAGGAACAATATACTTTCTTTGAATATGAATTTTGCTTGAAATTTGACTGCAGAAGTTTTTGTCTTACTGAAAAGCGTACTTTCTTCAGATCTAAACACAGAGTTTATATTTGTGAACTTTTGTAGCTTTTCAGAGGAGAAAATAGAATTTACTTGGTTTGACTGAATAATAGTAAATGTATTAAAAGACACCATGTGCGCCTGATCCAAGAATTTAAGCGAGTTTTGATTGTATGATTTAAGTTTGTAAATAGAATAAACATTAAGAAGAACAACAGGCTGAGAGAGATGAATTTTAATTGCTTATTTGCTATCCGTGGCAGGATGAGGAGTATCATTGATCACTTGAAAGGCAGTCGAGATTTCCCTGGATTATGAATTTGTATGTTCCTTCGGGCTCTGTTAACACCTCCACGCTGGTTCTATATGATATCAGCTGATAAATGGGTGAAAGCATTCTAGGCATCATATGGCGTCCTCCCGGGAAAATGGATTCTTCAATAAACAAGAACGAGATGAGGTGTGTAAAATGCTATCATATTTCCTACTATATGATGCTTTTTGATAATCGAACTGAGTTTAGTTTTAACCATCCAAGTGGTTGGAATCTCTTGTCAGTTAAAGTTTTTACATTGCAAGTTGACTCAAACACAATACGGATTCTTTTGGTCGAGGAGTTCAGCAAAAGTGCAACTTTTGTCCAACTCCCACAAACCTCGGGAACAAATAGGTTGAAAACGTTCAATATTTTAACCCTTTTATGGACCTTGAAGGGTTCCTTTTTGTTTACTGTGTGCATCAAATTGCTTTATACATGGGCGGCAGTTTCAGCTAGCTCTGAATGCATCTGAATCTGAATGGGATGGTTAGGAGTCACGACTCTTCTCCACAATAGTATGATATTGTTCTTTGAGCATAAACTCTCATGACTTTACTTTTGGTTTCCCAAAAAGCCTCATGCCAATGGAGATGTATTATAAGTAACTTATGAACTCATGATTAACCTCTTAATTAGTCGATGTTGGACTCCTTCTCCAACAATCCTCCCCTCGAACAAAGTACATTATAGAGTCTCTCCAGAGGCTTATGGAGTCCTCAAACAACCTCCCCTTACTCGAGACCCAACTCTTTATCTTTGAACCCCTCTAACAAAATACACAATTTGTTTGACACTTGAGTCATTTTTACTACATCTTCAAAGCTTACAACTTCTTTGTTCGACATTTGAGGATTCTATTGAGATGGCTAAATTAAGAGTGTGACTATATACCATATTAGGAATTACGCCTCTCCACAATGTTATGATGATGATGTTCACTTTGAGCATAAGCACTCATAGTTGAACCCAAAAGGCCTCACTCCTCTCTTAACCATCATCGTCATTATTGAGTGGAAGAAGTAATGAACCCCATCTATCGTAATCACACTGAATCCTCTCTCTCTCTCTCGGATCGAAATCTCTTAGGCATAAAGTTGTGATCTTTGAAGAGATCAATAAAGCTAAAAGCCTCACCCACCGTGCAGCAAACCAAGCGATAAAAGTTGAGGAGGACAGGAATTGATAGAAGGGAGCTACCTCTACCTAACTTTAATTGCTTTAATTATCTCATCTTTGCGCGTCTTGTCATCTTCTTCTCTATGCATTTCCTCTGTTGGGTGGCCCATGTTTTGTGTGTAATTTAACGGTTTGTCTGCCTGTGTTTTTCAGGTTTCTGGTGAACACCTTCCCTATGGAATTGCCTCATACCAAGACGATTTCGTGTAGCCTTGAACAACAAAGCTTGTTCGTCTTCCTTTGATTCAATTCGCCTCTCCCATAAAATATTTTCTTTAAACGTCGATTAACACCCACCCAGTTGTCGTTGTAAGCAGTGATATCAGGAAGCGGTGTGGGGTTGAAGAATCGAGGGAGAGCTGATTGTCATAAAATCTGTAGATAAGGCTTAGTTAGACACTTGTTGTGCAGCGCTCTGTTTCCATGGCCGCCCTCAACTTCCTCCATAAATGCAAAACCATCCTCAACTCCAACGCTTTACTCCCTTCTTACGTCTGCTTGTCCTCTTCTTCCTTCTCCCTCTTATTTATTGTTATAGTTGAGTGGGAAGTAAGCATTCTAGCTAAGAGTTAGGGTGTACAGATGGTAAGTAACGGGTTAAAATAGATAATATCTGCTAGCAATGGGTTTTGGCTGTTACATATGATAACAGAGTCAGACATCAGGTCATGTACTAGTGAAGACACCGACCTCCAAAAGAGTGGATGGTAAGATCTCATATCGGTTGAAGAGAAAAAGATAGCATTTCATATAAAGGCGTGTAAATCTCTATCTAAAAAATGTATTTTAAAATTGTAAGATTGACCGCAAACGTATGTTGGTATGGTTTTATTCATGGCGGGGCGAATGGAGTTCAAAAAAGGGAGTAATGTCCCATTCAATTCAAACATTCACATGAAGGCACCGCCCCCATTGTTGTCTTTTCTTTTTTGTATTTATTTATTCCTATTCATAATAAGAATTCCCATGTGCCCTCGTATTTAATCAAATCAATCCAATCCAATCTAATTTAATTAATTTAGCGTTACTATCTAATTTCTCTTTTGTCCAATAAATTTATTATTTTATAGCTTCTATCTTTTATAATAAAAATAAATTAAAATAAAAAAAGAGTTGACACCCACATGCTTATTTTAGGACTTATTTATGTTTGTAAACACGTGGGCTCCAAAATTTATTCCAAAAAGTTAATTTTTATAGCACCAAATGTGAAGTATGTATGTTTTTTTTTAATTGTTTTTTTAAGATTAAATGGCTCATAATTCTTCACTATTTCAATTATTGCTATAAACTTTTATTTTATATTAGAATCTTTTAAGCCTCAACTTGTTGCAAGGTTTCAAGAAATTCTTCTTTCTTTTTTATTTATTTATTTATTTATTTATTTATTAAAATTGTTTATTAGTGAAAGTACATGATTTTACATTTATAACCTCGGACCGCACCGACAATCACGCTATGGCCTCACATGCATATGGAATCGGTGGCCATTACTTCATCCACAATAACATTATCGTGGTCCTTGTTGCACCTTATCATTTTTAACTCGCCCCTAAAGTGGATCCCACTTCTTCCCTTCTCCCAAGCCCTCGGTTCTTGTTCTTATTTTAAAATTTTTTTCCCCTAATATTATTAGCATTTTTCTAAGAAATTTTGAAAATATATCTTTATATGAAAATAATTGTTATTTAACCTATTTCAATAAAAATTAAATTTAAGATTTATCGATAATAAATAAACTAAATTTAAGTAATTGAAAATTCAGGTACTAAAATAAAATCGAACACAAAAAGTAGGGTTAGTATTTTATAAAATGAAGGATGTGAAGAAAATATTAGACCACAAGTTTGCACTCTATTTACCATGCATGCCACTCAACTGAATCTTGAGAGTACAATTATGATTGATTTATGAGGAGCACATGGGTGCAAACCCTTCTCCAATTGATATCCATATGGCCATATTTACTTATCCACATCCATCTGCCACACCTTCAATTCCCCAATTAATTTCCCCTCAAAAACCCTAATTTCATAATAATTCACCACAACCCTAATTTCGTTAATTCCCACACAAAAGCCCTAATTTATATGTTTTCTTTTCAATTTTTTACCCTTTCTAACATTTGTTGGGTGAAAACCCTAAGAGTGAATTTGCCAAATCGAAGTGGACACGTGTCCCTTGCTGCTGGACGTTTCCTATGATGGACAAAGACGACGTCGTCGGGGCGAACGCCAAACAGAAAGTTCCGACGGAGTCCACCGGGATGAGGTAGTTCTTTGGCGGCAGCTGCAGAGACTTCCCGCCAGCGAATTGAAATGACAGCGTTGGAATGGTGACTCTCGACTGCGACGACAGATCGTAACATGTGTCGAATAATGCGACGCCGTTTGTCCTCCTCAGGTATGGTGTGCGACTCACGAAGGCGTCGCGAAGGGTGTTGTAGGCTTGAGTCTGCAGACGAGTTATGGCGGTTCCTGAATCGACGATGATACCGCCGTAGCCGGCATCGTCCATTTGAAACAGAGAAGGAGGAATTGACAGTAACTGGCCGCCGACGCTCAATCCGACGAGTCCGACGTAGTAGAATGTATCGACTCTTCCGCTTCTGAGTAATGGAGCATTCACTGTGTCACTCGGTGCAGCGGAATTGAACTCGAGAGCTGAAGACGAACTAGAGTCGCGGTCCACAAGACAGTATGAGAACGACGACGCTTTCATCTGAGAAATGAGGGATAGTGATCCGCCGCCGAGTCCGAGTAATCCTGCGGATCCGACGAATAATCCTTCGTTGTCGTGGCCGCAGCCAAGAGCGACATTGTTAATCGTCCCGGAGTTACCAAACGACAGAGATTCAGTAACGAACTCACCGACAGTGAAGGAGCCATCGCCGTACGCGACCTGGTAAAGACACTTCGCAGCACGACAGCCAGACGTTTCAAGAGCTTGACACTGCGGAGATTCGCAGGCAAGTGAAGCAAAAGAAGAAGAAGTTCTCGGGTCAAAAATCGGGTCGGTTTGCTGGTAACAGTCCGTACAAGGCTGACATTGAAGCCAATTGATATCGCTGCCGGTGTCAAGAACCATATAGAACGGCTTAGCCGGTTGTCCGACGCCGATGCGGGAGAAATACTCGCCGCTTCCTTGACTGGTGCCAGAGACAATCGGAGTGCTCAGATCCTCTGGCAGAATCTCCGTTTGCAACGGCTGAAGATCCGACCTCTTCAAGTCACTGAGGGAAAATTCAAGCCTATCGTTGAGCGATTTAACTCTAGAAGAGTCCCGGTCCAGCCGGGAAAGGACCAGGCTCTTGTAGTCCTTATGTCCGGCATTTTGAAGAGCGTCGCGAGAGTGCAGTTGCAGAGAAAAGGAGGAAGAAGAGTTCGCCGGAACAACCTCATTCTGCTGCTGGAAGGATAGCAAAGCCTTGGGGTCGAATTTCAGGACCTGGTTGGCTTGTTTCAGTGAAGCCGAAACATCGAGAAAAGCGGAGGAGGAGGAGGAGGAGTGAGAAAGCTCCGGCGAAGTGCGACACAGAGTGAAGGGCAAGAGAGAGAAAAAGAAGATGGCGAAGGAGAACAGAGGTTGCAGATTTGCAGTCGCCATTGTTGGGAACAAAAATTGCAGTGAGAGGTAAGAGTTCGAGCGTCGGGTTTAAGAAGGGAGTAAGGTTTTTAATTGGGAAGATGGTCGAGTTTGGTTTGGGGTTGGAGGCTACGCACTGCTCCCAAGTTGGCATTATCTGTTTTCTTTTTTTCAAAAAATTAAAAAATTAAAAAATATTCAAGTTTTTATCTTTAATTTACAAATTACATATATTTATATAATTTGCAATTGAAACAGATTTAATTTTAAAAATGTCCCAATTTACATAGCACCTAGATAAGAATTAAAATATCAATATCAATAAATCAAAAAATAGTCAAAAGCTCCGATACCATTTGTAACAACTCAAGATTACCTATGATCATTAGTCTCACAGTTTTTAAAATGCATATGTTATGGAAAGATTTTCATACCTTTATAAAAAATGTTTCGTTCCCTTCTCCAATCGAGGTGGGATCTCACATTCCACCCCTTCGGGAGCCTAGCATCCTCGCTAGCATTCGTTCCTCTCTCCAATTGATGTGCAATCTCACAATCCACCCCACTTTCCTACTTTCCTATTTCACCCTCAGAGAGTAGATTTCTCTTCATAAATAACTTGATACAAAGAAGTTTAAGATTGTATACAGTTGATGATAGTTAATAATATTCACCTACCATACTTGAGAAATCTAAGTTTTAAAAGGAATGATGAATAGAATGGTAATGTTTTGGTTCCTTACTTACTTCACCTACTAATCCTATTATATAAAAATCCATGATTATCCTAAACATTTTTCGAAGTAAATTTGTCATGTTATAATAAATAAGGAAAGAAATAATAGCAGGATAGGTAGGATATTGGACCTACCTGCAGCTGCTGCAGTAATTCAAGAGCAGTCCAAGTTGAGTCTCTCCTGCAAGAGTTGGTGCACCCCACTTTCCTCTTTTTCAGTCCTGCAATATTACATTCACAGGTGTATTCAAAAGACTTCGAAATATAGCAACTAGTTTTCTCATGGCTCCAAGATGAAGAAGCTAATATGGAAAGCACTGCTATGGTCTCGAAAAATGGTGAAGTGAAGCAACCCTTTAACCCTTTGTTCTCCCTTGCGGTGTGAACTCACACCGGTTGGAAAGGAGGAAACCTCTCCCTAATATACCCGTTTTAAAAACTTCGAGGAGAAACCCAAAAAAAAAAAATCAAAAAGGATATTATCCGCTAGCAATGAACTAATTCAATCCTATGACTTCTTTAATAGTGAATAGGAAATTGATGGATATATAAATTCTTCACAAAGAGGTGATTACTGACCCTCTTTACCCTCTAGAAGGACTGGAACTGGAAACTGGAAAATCCAGCAGTTCAGAGCTCTCTCCCATAACTGGAAAGACAGGAACTGGTAACTGTGTGATGAATATAGAGTTTCAGTTCTAGGCGTCTCAATCTATAAAAAGAATATTTCTTGTACAGATGGGTTTTATACCAAGCAAGCAACAGAGAGAACAGCAATTTTAGAATTCTTCTCAATGTACGCATGGGGATGGGACCAAGGGAAGAATATTGCATATTTACTCAAAATACGTCCTACCAAGGAAAAGAAGGGTGACGGGGAACAAAACATTCTGATTAAGGGTGTGAAAACCTCTCCCTAGCAGACACATTCAAAATACTTTAAAGGGAGGCTCGAAAGGAAAAACTCAAAGAAGACAACATTTGCTATCGGTGAGATTGAGTTATCACAAGAAAGATCCGAATGCACAACAAACCACATGGAAGTCAAGTAAAAACAAGTCAACTGAAAAGGAAGATGTGTTTGTGTGTACAACTCATAAAATAACTAAAGTGAACATGGTATTCATAAATTGAAGTTTATTTGTTTATGAAGTATCTCTATATATGTACATAGGTGCAGCTTGCAAATTGTAGCAGTTGAGGGCATGCAATTTTAATATGGCTGATAACTAAGGGGTGAAAAGAGTACATTACATGGTCTGTTTCCTATTCAACAACCATCACTTGCAGGCTCGATTGAACTTTGAAGACCATTGCCTCGTAGCTGCATGCAGTGATCTTCTGCGTCCACTTGAGCGCAGACAATTACCACTGACATACCATTGTGATGTGCCTCCTGCATTATGTTGACTGCATTGTCAAGGGTCATTCCAGGGATCACCTTCATCAGAACTTGCACGACATATTCCCGCTTGTTGTAATTGTCATTATGTAGCAACACTTGGTACGGCGGAGCGATTTTCCTTGATTTTCTGAAGATGAAAATTATGTTCTAAGCTAAGCCTTCTCCAATGCATACACATCTTTAGTTGCTTATACGTGACATACATTCAAATGAAAACTGTTTTGTACCTAACATCAAACTCGGATTCACGGCCAGGTGTTGTCTTCTCTATTGTTGGCTTGTCCAACAACCCCCCACCTCTTCCAAGCGCAGCAACTGATAACATCATTAAGATGCTCCGGTGTCTACATGGTTTATGAAAATAGTATTTATCCCCTAAGAAAAACATAGAAAATATAAATGAGTAATATTGTATGAAGATGTCAGGTAAGTTCCAACATAAAATAAAATGAACAGCCACCACACCTATGCAGGTCGAAAAAAGTACAATAATTAGGAAAATTGCAACTCAAAGCTGTGCCTCAGATTCATGTGAGCTCATCTATTATTAGATATATTCCCAAGTGTTCACTTTTTGGCCATGTGTTATAAGCAAGAAGTTCTTAACTAAATGAAGCCCAGGCTCTAAACTCGACTAATCTCAGTTAATGAACCATTAAAGTTTAAAAGTCACCATCAATTTTTTTTTAATGAATCACCAAACTTACATTGAAAAAGAAAAGGAATACACGGCCATACAAGCCCATAAAAGACGAAGGCAACCTAAAGGAAAGGCTTCCAATTAAACAAGATAATACCAAGCTAATCTTTCCCAAAATAATAATAATAATAAAATTTTGTAATCGAAACCCACCAGGAAACGTGAGACCAAGCAAAGGACTAAACATCCTAGCCTTTATTTATCTCAAACAAAAAATTTTAAGGTTTTTTTAGAGTGTATAAGGAGGATCTAAACATCCTAGCATTTATTTCGTATCATGAACTTTTTGCATAGAGAAACCCATTTGGTTGATTCACCCGGTACTATCCTTAAAAGACTCATTTCAAAGAAAGTTGTCTGAGACACTCGTCTCAGAACGCTCGCCCTCACTGTGACACACACATGTGCCACAGGGTAGCTCGCTTAGGCCACAAAGCTTATGGGTGGTAGAGAGTTGATACTATGCCACCCAGTACATTTTGAGGCATTTCCAATCTTCATCGGATAGACATCATTTTGACGAACGGTCAAACGGTCTTTTGGAGCGTCCGTCCGGTGTAGGATTGATACCAAATTTAGTGAGCATTCATATTTCATATGGACAAACTTGGCTCTAGAACCGCATGCCCAAATTCCATTCAGAACCTCGACTTTCTAGGTTAAGGCATGGGGCCCTACCCGGCCTTCAACAAGGGCCCTTATCTTGTTTTATTCCTCGTCTTCTTTTCAATGCCCACTCTATGTGGTGTGTTAGATGATACACCGTCCTCCTCCGGCGCATTATGACACTCATCTAGGCCCCGTGTGGCCAAATGGGCACCACTTGAGGGTCGTCACTTTACTTGTCGTAACGTGAGGGTCACAACCTACTCTCTTTAGGGTAAGGTTGTGACACTCTGCTTCTAACGGAAGCCATTTGCTAAGTAGCAATTCTAATAGGTTCTAGTAAATTCTGGAACTTATAAATTGTCTCAGGATTCTCTGCAAGTATGTGGATAAAAATAAAAGAAAACGATGCAGACGGTTAGGCTGTTGTTATGGTAGCTAAACTATACCCTTTCCTGTTCATTTTGATCATCCAATTCTAAATATTCTACTAGGTCATTGAGCTTTCTTGCTAGTTTTGTTGATCCCAACATTTTGAGATATTAATTCACCATGATAGAAATGTGGAAATGTTAGCATGAAATATTTACTAGATGCTAGGGTTTAGCCATTTTTTTTTTTCCCCTAATAACAGGGGAAGTTCACTCATTACATTATGGTGGTAACCCACCTCACTAATTCTAGTTAGGTTTTGCCCACTCCAAATCCAACTCAAGAAGAAACTACAGATTTTTAGTTATGAACTTTTTATACTACTGCACCGTTCACACACACAAACAAAAAGCTTCAGATCTACCTCTGAACTTTAATTTGGTTTCATTTGTTGCTTTCCTTCATAATGCAACAGTAAAATTCATACAAACAGGAAAATTATCATTCTACATGCAGATGGTCAGATTTTCCCGGTTAATAATTTTTATTCTTCCCATTAAGCAGCCAAAAGCTTCTGTCTCCATAAATCCAGGAATTATGCAAATGTTCAACAGCAAACCGAAATTTCTCAAAAACCTTTCCTCCAACTTTAGGATTAAGGACAAAGAACCCACAGCCGAAAAGAACTACGGACAAATTGAATAGCGAAGAAAATTAGGAGGAACAAATTCGTAGAAATCTGAATACCTGACCTGGTCGGATTGAAGAAATGGTAGGGTGAAATAGATACTCGACCGCAAATTGCAGCTTCCATTGCCCCTTCTCGAAGAACTGTTGAGGGATGAAGAGTGATCTGGTGCAGCAGGTTCACAGAAAATTGCAAACGAGATTCGACTGCGTGGCTCATTTGCCGACGCGTGGATTCTCTCTTCGCTGTACGATTGTCTCGCGATTTTTCCTGGAGGGAAATTATCCCTCGCCTCAGCCATACATGCTTTTACGACGTCGTTTCGCCAATCGTCCAAACTTCTTCCCGTTGAACCTGAACGATGGATTTTAATTTTATAATAATATCAATTTGTTCCTTTAAAGTGGAAATAAACTCAAAATTAATTCAAATTTTAGAATGTCACAAATTAATTAATTTAGAGATTTCATGATAATTTTATTTTAAAACAACTAAATGTGGTAATCAAATATGTAGCAGCAAAATTTATTAAATTTGAATGATTTATTATATACTCATATTTTTCTATTTATTTAAAAAATGATTGGGTGACAATTTTTGTTCGTAATTGAAGATTTTTAGGGTAGGTTTATTTCATTTAGTTGATTTAAACCTAACTTCAAACGAAATTAAATGAAAATAGTTACAATAAATTAGGATGAAAAAATTATTTGATCCGACTTAATCGACTTTTATATATATATAGTATTGTGTGGCTTTCTATGAATTAAATTTTGAAGACTTTGACAACCTTCCACAAATTAAATGAAGAAAACAATTAAAAGCTTTCCTTGCAAAAAAAGAAAAAGAAAAAAAATGTCAATAACCTAAAAGTCAACTTCTTGATTTAGAAACTAAGTTCATAGTTACCACTCATTATATTTAAATGGGCAAGTTCATTATGAGGAGAAATAAATAAATAATTCAAATGAATAGGTTCATATTATAATCAGAGAAATAAATAAATTATTTATAATGGAATAAAAATAAATTTAATTTGACATATGTTCTAACTCAAACCCTCTAAAACAATTTAAATATATATTAGAGAAAAAAATATTTATTATCATTTAAAACGTTGATTGTTCGAACCCTACTTTATAGTTATTGAACTTAACAACAAAAAATTAACAATCTCTTAATCAAGTATGTGAATTTAAACGTAAATTATGAAGTTTTGATAGATAGTAATTATTTTTTAATTAAATAATTTAGTGATGACTTACATTATTACTATTATTGTTTATACTACCCAAAAAAATTGAGTTAATTAATAAATTATCTTAATTATCCATAGTTTTTTTAGATCAAAGGTTTAAATTCTGTCAAGGAACCAAATTAAATACTACATAATATTTATTTTATTAAAAAAAATATTTTTGACCTCCGAATTTCGAAGTTATTTAATCTAATTTAATAGTTAAATTTTTATGATAAATATATTAAAAATCAGTATTGGTTTTTCCTTGTAATTATTAGGTAAGATATATAAATATTTTATAAACAAATGAAAAATTGTTCTTTTGAAAAAAAAATCAAATGAAAATTAGTCAACCCTTGTTTTTCAACGGTTGTCTGAACCGTTATTTAACAGATTTTAAGTGTTTTAATATTATTGGATAATTATATAAAATAGCTCCTCACCTTTAATCGTCTGATATTTTTTTTAATGCTGAATTTCATTGAAAAAAGAATTTAATTAGGCCCTTTAAAAAAGAGTTAAATTTTGTAAAAATAACATTTATATCATAAAATTGTTATTTATTAATATCCAATTTTGTCGATAACATTTATTAGTAAAGAAGAAAATTCGAAAAAAATCGAGCCATACAGATGTGTTCTGGCCCCACCAGAATGGACGGTGAAGATTAGGCCGAAAGCACGTGTGTCAAAGACTGAATGGAGAGAATCCACGTCAGAAAGACGTGTAATTCAAATCCGAAACGGAAGGGCCACGTTAGCTTTTCCCTCTTCAGAGAGTTCCCACGCGCGCCCTTACCTGACACAGTCACCGGCCTAAGGCAAGAATAACCGACTTCCATTTACGTCAAGAATCGCCGTTGTTTTTTCTTTCGGAATATTCAAGTCCGATAATTTCTGTCTCTCTCTCTTTTTCTATTTCCTAATTTTGTTCTTCAGGTTTTCCGCTTCTTTCTGCGATTTGTTGCCTGAATTTGCGCCTCCATTTGGGTCTGGATATTGTTTATCTCTCTCTTTCTCCGTTTCCGTAATTTTTTTCGGATCGGGAAGAGATTGAAGAACCTTAATAAATGATTCAACGATTTGTTGACGATGTGCTTGCTGTTACCAAAGAGTGAGTCTTCTTCTTCCTTCCCCTTCCCAGTTGATCAAGTTTTTTTAACCTGAAACGGGGGATTTGATTTTATTGTTTTTTTGTGGGAATTTAGTTTTTGGCGGATGATGATGTGTGTTGTTCTCTCAGCTGATCACGCGCTGGAATTTGTTCTAAATTTATATAACAATCGAGCCAGAATTTTTTGATGATCTCACCTCATTGTTTTTGAAGCGAATTTAGGAAACTAATTAGTGCAAGTTAGTTGCGTAATAGATCTGGATTTGGATATGGATGCCTCTTTTGAATGCTCCAATCGCTTAATGAAATTGGTGCTGTTTAACTTGAGGAGCTGTTTCGGATTTTATTGAATCGTGCCATAGGCTTGTAGAATCTTTTTTCCTATTTGTTCCTCTTGTTCTTTCATCCATCTTAATTCCGTGCTTTCCGTCTGTATTTTTGTTTCAATGGAGAAATGGCAACTGTTTTTTATTGCTAATGCTTTCTTTTTTAACTTTCTCGTGGCCAATTTTAATCTGTAGGTGCATTTTTAACTTGCGTCTAAGAACTTCGTTCTGTTTGTCTACTTCGATTTATTTCCGTACAGGTGTTCATGTTTCTAACTAGTTGAGCTTATCTCCTTGAAGAAGTAACTTCTTTCCTTCTTGTATGTATATTTCTAGTGCAGGTCGGTGAAGACATTCACGTACGAGTCCTTGAATAATGTTGTGAGGCTGATCAATGGATTATCTGCACTTCTGCTGACTCTTTTACCAGGGAGGGGTTCGGTACTCGAAGGTGTTCATGGCTGGGAGCTCAGACCAACCTTTCGGGGGCCTCGTTTTCCTCGTTGGATGGAAAAGTATGTCCAATGACCTGAATTCTATGATGGTATAGGGTGTCCAGAATAATCCTTTAGAATCGATTTCAAGGCATGATTTTTATAAGTCCACGTTTTTACCCCACTAGGAAATTACCTGGTTATTATGATTTTCACAATTTTGACATATTTGGAAAACTTGGTTTGTTCTTTCAGTGATGAGAATAAGAATTATCATTATCATTTTTCATTTAATCATAACTCAAAAATATTTTAATCAATCTTTTATCACACTTCTTAATCTGTTTTTCTGTGGAGAAAATTTGAGATACTAATTTTAAAGTTTACATTCATGGTATAGTTGAGAGGGTTTTCTGCTATTCATTCATTCATACATGCATGGGAAAAAAATCGTCTCTAATCTAGTAGGCGTATTGCTCTAGTCAATATAGATGTAAGGCTAGAAATCAATTTTTTTTCTTCATATTTGCGTGAAATCAAGTTCGCTGAAGGCAATGATGGAGCATGAAGTTTGGAATAGTATCATTAATACATGAATCCACAATTGCACATTGTGTTAGTGGGAAAAAATGATGTCCTCTATAATTCACTGTTCCTGAAGATTAAAAAAAAGGAAAGAAAAAAACAAGACTGCGTTATTGGGTTCACCTCTTTGCAACATAACTGTTGGCCACTCCACCTTCCAGCATGATTTTTTGCTGGTATCCTGGTACCCTGAAAAGAGCCTTTCTACCCTCATGTCTGGTAGACTTTATGTTCTCCGTATAACTAGGTAGCTTTATGAGTTTACAAAGTCACTTAAGCGATTGTGACTTTAGTTATATGATAACGTAGGAAATAGAAGTAGAATTCCTCAAGGTTATAAAAGTGCCCTTTTTCCTGACATTAAGTGCACAAATTCCAAAACGGTGGCTTTCATTTTCTATAATTTAAGCTGGCTTCTTCGGATGGAATGGCTGTTTCCTTTTCTTTTATCCCTCTGGTAGTTTGAATTGCCATTGATATAGAGGACATGCATCACATTGTGTTTTTATGGTATTTTAGTTAATAAGTAGTTGACATATGTATATTTTTTCCTGTGGTACATAGTGGTGTGTCATCCTTCAACCAGTTCATTCACGAACTTTCTGTGGACTCTGATGATTCAAGCTTAGATTATTCCTCTGGGGAGGAAGATGGTATTGGAAATGAATATCCTGCAACACCATCATCTCAGAGTTCACGAGGCTCCAGGTCCAGGTCTGGTTTTCATGTCAAGAATGTTTGGCACTGGACAGAAAGGATCAGAAGTATCTTTCTTTGGATTCTTTTGCCTGCCAAGTTCCTTTTGGGGATTCCATTTCGAACTTTTCACTTCTTTTTTATTAAATGGTCTGGGTCCTCATCCAGCCCTGGAAGTCCCTGGCCCTCAATTAAGCGAGTGCACAGCCATAAGGAGCACGTTGTTCATAGCACCACTGATCGGAGACGTGGAGTTATTGAGGTTTCTCTCTAACATCTACTAGTAGCTTCTGGTTCTCCCATCCTTAACTTCACTTATTTCTTAGAAGTGTTGTTCTAAAACACCTAGATATGCTTTAATTGGCCTGACTTCTATTTATTAATTTCTCTTTGCTTTACATGTAAATTAGGACCTTCATCTTGCAAGTGAAATCTTTATCGAATCTGCTTTTGAGATGGTCCATAAGGCTGCACATTTTATCCTCTCACCATTAGACACCATTAGAACTTTGTTCAGATGGCTTTGGTCTTGGAGCAGTTGTGAGAGAGATCACGATGCAGATGTCATCGTGCCCACAGCTACCCTTGGAGATGATGATCCTGTGCCTAGTGAAAGGACCTACACTTTTCATCAGTCACTGAATACCGATGCTAGAACGTGCCAAGATGTTATTACAGAACTTGGGTAAGATCAGTGCTGGTAACTTCTCATTTTATTCTGGACTTTGGGTTCAGCATGAAGCTGTTGGTTTCTCATGTTTGTTTGGTCTTTCTTCCTATCTTAGGTATCCATATGAAGCTATTCGTGTTGTGACTAATGATGGATATGTTCTTCTTCTGGAAAGAATACCCAGGTACAATACTAGTTAATTTATTTTTGCCTACTTCAATTTTTTGTCCAAATGTTTTGTGGTTAATGCTTGCACTGTGATTTGCAGGCGTGATGCACGTAAAGTTCTTTATCTGCAGCATGGAATATTTGATTCTTCAATGGGGTGAGGGTTCCTCCCCCATTTCTCGCCAGTTTCTGTTTCACAGTTGTCATAGGCTGTTAGTTTAATCTTGTGTGTAGGATAGATAGGGAATATATTATGACTTCATGCTGCTTTGGCTATGGTCCATGACATCCTTGAATTTAAAGATCTGTATGATGGTAACACCAAAGTACATCTCAAGGATTATTTCACATATAACTTAGCACACCACATATACCCACACACGTACGTACAAACACATGCATGGAGCATAATGACAAGGTTGGATTCAATAACTGTTTAGGTTGGATGGGTAGGGAATTACACTGTAGCATACTTCTGTTATTGATCTACATCCGTTCTCTAACTGTACTAGTTCTTTTGTCTAACTAGTTGGGTGTCCAACGGGGTTGTTGGTTCGCCAGCCTTTGCAGCTTTTGACCAAGGTACTTGCGTTTGCTTCAGAAGTTCAAGCCTACTCAATGAGGCTGTGTTTATCCTCCTCTTCCTCTCTCTCTCTCTCTCTCTCTCTCTCTTTTTTTTTTAGCAAGTTTTTAACAATTTAAAATACTAATAATTATTGCAGGGTATGATGTTTATCTTGGCAATTTCCGTGGCTTGGTCTCTAGAGAACATGTTGATAAGAATATATCTTCAAGACAGTAAGTCTGCGTTTTTCACTTTTTCATGTATCTACATTTAATTTAACAGCTAATCCCTAATCGAGGGCTAATATCATGGAGGCTTTCATCATGTGCCCCTGTGGATGTCATTCGCTGGCTGATTTTGTAAACTATCCAGGTACTGGAAATATTCCATAAATGAACATGCCATGGAGGATATTCCAGCGATGATTGAAAAAATTCATGAAGTTAAAACTTCTGAATTGAAGCTCAGCCAACCTGAACTTGCAGAAGAAACTGATAGTGACCAGCCATTCAAGCTTTGTGCACTGTGCCACAGCATGGGAGGTGCTGCTATGTTGATGTATGTTATTACACGGAGGATTGAAGAGAAACCACATAGATTATCTAGATTGGTCTTACTATCTCCTGCTGGTTTCCACGACGATGCCCCATTTATTTTCACTGTGATTGAGAATCTCTTGCTCCTGTTATCTCCACTTTTAGCTCCATTTGTGCCTGGCTTGTACATACCAACCAGATTTTTCCGTATGCTTCTCAACAAGTTGGCTCGCGATTTCCATCACTATCCTGCTGTTGGAGGTTTGGTTCAAACTGTGGTGAGTTACTTTTTAGGTGGGGACAGTTCAAATTGGGTTGGAGTTCTGGGAATTCCACACTATAACATGAATGATATGCCCGGAGTTTCATTTCGAGTAGGTCTCCATCTTGCTCAGATGAAGCATGCCAAGAAATTTAGAATGTTCGATTATGGAAATGCATCCCTGAACATGGAAGCTTATGGATCACCGGAGCCACTGGACTTGGGTGAATACTTCGGGCTTTTTGATATCCCTGTAGATTTAGTTGCTGGACGTAAGGACCAGGTAATAAGACCAACCATGGTGAAAAGGTACTACAAAATGATGAAAGATGCTGGTGTTGATGTATCATTCAACGAATTTGAATATGCTCATCTGGACTTCACTTTCTCGCACCGTGAGGAGCTCTTGGCTTATGTAATGTCTCGTCTACTTCTGGTCGGTGAGCCTGGATCGAAACCGAAACTGAAGCTGAAGCCCTCTCAGAAAGTACCAAAACTGAGACGAAATGACAAGCTTGACGGCTAGCCTTACACAGAACACCACTAGAACCCACTCTCGAAGTTCTAGCATGTGGCAATAGGAGCATATGGATAAATATAATGGATCTATAGGAGTTGGGTCGTGTAAATGTATCTATAGAGTTGGGAACATGGTTTGTATATTTTCAGTCAAGTGTAACCACATCATGGATTTTGATCAATCGTCCGGTCGAAATTTTTCGTAAGGAACGAATTGAAGGTGATCTTATCTGGAACTTGATGTTTTTGAATTGTGCGCTTTATGGAAGACCATACACTTGTGAGACATGTAGCCTTGTAAACTTAAATATATATAGAGGATTTGTTCATAGTTGAAGTTGGAATAGAAGGCATCAATGGAACACAGTGTGGATGCCATAATCTGCAGCGTGGTTATTTCTCGTGTTCCTCAGAATCAAAATCGTTTCTTTTATAATATATTAGAAAGATCGAAATCATATTTCTCCCAACAAAGAAACTTGTAGAGAAGGTTCCGAATTCCAAGCTTAAGGTGAGGAACTAGCAAAAATTCCGTGGACTTCAAAAAAAAAAACGAAAAAGATAACAGCTGAAACATTCCTTATATTCCTACTACTGTTGGTTTGTCTTTTTATTGCAGATGGTTCAATGACTTATCTGAGCTTCTGTTGAAGGAATTTTTGTTGTTTAATATGGATCAGACTGGCGGATGCTGTTCAAGAATATAGAAATGACAAGAGGTAGTTGCCCATTGTCCTTTTAGCTTTGGAATGATTGCGTTTTCAACTTCTTTGAGTTTATACGGTATAGAAATTGAAAGTGTACGAACTTGCCTCATCTTCTTTCCAATTTGGACGAAATGGTTGAATGATCTTGTGTGTATCAACTCTATTTGGTTTTGTGGTGGTGGTTCTATTTTTCGTGCTGTGGGTGAGTGACGTGAAAACTTCTGTGCAGTTCTTGCTTGGACATTTTTTTAACCACCATTTATGCAATTGGTCTTGCCATGATTCTCTTGAATTTACTTTCACTTTCACTTGTACTGACCAGTGGCCATGCATTTTTCCTTCTCTCAATCATTTTATGTGCAACACCAGAATAAGACATAGTTTATGGCCCGTGGTTGTCTGATAAGTACTTGATTTTGGTTTGTTGGCTCAAATTGTACGAAAATATCTTTACTTCTTCAATTCTATGTCTCAAGAGACTTGCCCATCATCAACAAAAAGATGACATGATGTCTTTAAAGATGAGAATTTCTTTGGTGAAATAAGAGGATGGAAAGACTAAATGAAAGGGATTCGAGTGAGAGATTAGAGAAACAAGCAGAGACACAGTCACAGTGTTAGGGACAAATCTCTATAATAATAAGATATGTTCACTTTAAGCATAGCTACTTCCCGTAAAGCTTAGAGATAATTGCTTTTAGTTAGATTCATCTCTCTCTCTTCCCTTCCTTACTCATTGTAAAACTTTGTTCCCACTCTTACATCCTCATTCCACCAGAAAATCTTTCCTTCTACTCACCCTTGACCACATACCCGTGTATGAAGTTCTTTAGCTAACCTTTTCCTTTGCTTTTTAATAAAAATCATTTTATGATCTATAGTCTGCAAGCGCAAACAATGCTGTTCTTTTCTCTCTCATATTGAAAAAATATAGGTGTCATAAAAAGAATCAGTTTCATGTTTTTCTTAGGCTAAGCTAATTATCTTTTCCTGTTTCTGAGGGTTGAGCTTGAGGTTTCCTTAGCTTCTAGTTTTCACAAACGCAGCAATTTAATCTTCAACTGTAGAAGGAACTGCTAAATCGTTCTTGGGAACAAACTTCTGTTGGGAACTTTAACGAAGTTTTGACACGGTAGAGTGATTTGAAGAACACTGAACGCTCACTCCTCTCTTCTCGTGGTCCTTTCGCCTTTCCCCTCCAGTTGGACGCTCTAACCACTGTTTCCATCTTCCACACATACAGTTCTTCTTGTCTTTGGCCGAAGATGAGGGATCCGAATACTGATATTAGAAACACCCCTTTGTAGAAAATTTAATTTGGATACTTCCTCGGACTAGCCACCATTTTAGGAGAAGGGGTGTTGATTGATTCGAATTTCGTGTGTTTAGATCCCAATTTTCAAGGTGTTTGAGTTTGAATACGGTTGCTCTATGTTCAAACATTGATAAAGGGAGATGGGATTTACTCAAAATTTCATTTTGAGGTTGATTTCGTTCAAGCTACTGTTTTGCGTTTTTCTGGAAAGAGAGTCGTCGTAAAATCCCCACTAGTTTTCTGTGTTAGCAAGGGTGAGGTGAGCGATGTTTTTTTATTTGGGGGGGTGGTTGGAGTAAATTTTTGGACGATAATTATGACTTAAAGCTATGTGAAATATTAGCCGTTACAGTGAGTTAATAAACCACTTTACTTCTGTTTTCAAGTTGTGGCTGGACTTGGAGTGTACACAAAGAACTCAAGAGTTTGTGGTGGGGGTGCCTTAAAGCATCCATGGTCTAGGTGGCATCCTAAAATTTCATTGCTCAATGTCCATAAACATTATTTTATATTTAGACATAATTCTTGAATGAGCCTGAGCTGTTCTCTTGTTGTATTGCATGCAAAAGATGGAAGGTTGGTGCATTGTATTTGTTCATCATAAAAGAGTGTCTGAGACCAAACTGGGATGATCGTGAAGATGGGTTCAAACTTGAGATTGTTCCTATCAAATTTTACATGCTATTTTGAAAAAAACAAGACGACAGTATAGTAACAGAGCCAGTGTAGATTGTAGGAATTAAAGGAACTTAGAACTTACACTTCATGGGGCATAGAATTACAGAATGTTTTCTCATTGAAAAGTATTATTTACAATGACGATTTGTTCTTTACCATTAATGTTTGTTGTGGTAGCCACTTATGTTTTCTCCAAGTTCAGATAAGCCTTTTTTGTATGTGGACCAAAAGCTTAGCTTTCAAATATGGACCAAGGAAATATCAGAGGATTGGGCGATGGTTGGATGAGAATCCTCGATCCAAAAGAAAAGCTATATAATCATGATTTATGATTTCAACTTTATCCTAAAGTTACTGAATTTAGTAAAAGATTTCAAATTTCTGTATCTTACCAGGCATGAGCTGGATGAGTCAACGACTGTGTCGGGCTGCCTAGTTTCAAGTTCCCTTTCAATTCATGTCAGGTGCGTTGTGTCCTCCTCTCACTCCACACATTTTCCCCCGGTTTATCAGCACATGAACTAGAATTGGAATTATGCTCACAGGTCTAATCCGATTGACTTGTCATCAAACACATAAGCACAAAAGAAAAGAGAAAAGTAGTCCACCCCTTTATTTGCTGACTCCATTTCTAGATATTTGAACGATTTAAAAAGGCAGGCAATTTTAGAACCGCATATAGTATCCATGAAGAATTTGAGGCAGAGATTGCAGTTTAGTTGTATATGGACCGACAGAAATAGTGGCACTAATTTAACATGGTCATGAAGTTTAGAGTTTCTAAAACCACACATGTAATCTAAGGTTGTCCTCCTTGTCAGACATATGCCATGCCCTCCCCCCCTGAACTTCACGTGTATGTCCTCATTTTCACGTGTACAATGTCTTCAATATGGCTTTTGCCTTTTAAGACAAAGTTACTCGGTAGTCTGGGGGACCCCCCCACCCCTACCTTTCCCTTCGTTATTTTGGTCCTTCCTCTTTCTTGTGGAATCTGTCTTAGGAACATCTTGGCTTCCTCACCTTCCTTACGACTACCTCTCTGAGAAAAAGGAAGAAAAAGCTGAGAAACTTTCTTCCTTTCACTCAGCGAACAGTTCTGTGATTGAGCGAGTTATTTAATTTTAATGGGACCAAAAGCGCCTCACAGATTATCAAAGATCAGATTTATTTATTTTTTTATAATATTCCTTTTTAGCATTATTCATCTCTGGTGGATTGTTGGTTTTTAATTAGAAAATAGCAAGTTGATGGGACCCTGGTCTTATTTGCCGCCTGATAAGTCATGGCCTTTGATTTTTGGATCTTGGGGGTTGGTCCAAGTTTAAGCTGATCCCATCCATCTTTCCCTTTAAGAACATCCATATGTTTCTCAGAGATTTTTCCATGCCAAGTATGAACAAGGACTGTTAAAGTGAATGAAGCTACTTTTAATCACTGGAAGGTAGACGAAGAGGGGAAACTGAAGAAGATATGAAGATGAAAGCAGGTTCTAGAATTGAGAATTCCAAGACAAAATCCTCATGTAAAGAAGCTGCGGGATTTGTACAAGAAGGAAAAGGTAGGCTGTATATATTTGGTAGATGTGTTGCTATGCTTCTTTGCTGGCATGATTGAATCAATCATCTATATGAATCCCTCATTCATCTGCTCTTGTTAGTGATCTTTGGTCTCCTTTTTGTTCCCTCTCGATCAATCTGTACATTTTACTGATATCTTTTAATACGAAGGCTGCTAGGCTGCTGATTACAATCTAACAGCCCAAGTTCATTATTGGCAAATATTGTACTTTTTGGACTTTTCTTCCTGAGCTTCTCTTTAAAGTTTTAAAACGTGTCTGCTAGGAAAAAATTTTCATATCTTTATATGAAATGTTTTGTTTCCTCTCGACCAATGTAGGATCTCACATACAATATCTTCATATCGAGAATGAGACTTGATTTTCATTATTATGTAATAATTGCGACCATATTATGGATATTGGATCATTGGGATGATTAATGAAATCAAGCTGACAACTTTTAAAAATATGTTTAAATTGGTAAGTTTAATAATCTAAGATTGGGTAAGTTCTTTCTTTTTTTTCAAACCGTGGGCCTGCATATTCTCGTTTGGGCTCAGTTCCCTCGAGACCCAAATCCAAAATTGCGTTGGTTATGTGTATATATAAACACACATTCATTTACATTTCCATTAGTAAAGAACATTTATTAATCTATAATTAACAATCTTTTAAGTGCTTTCAACACCTCTAAGAGAAGATGCAGGTCTTCTCGAGAGTCTTGTCGTCAGGCCCCTACTCTAATTAAAAGAATAAAAGACGAGCACTAGAATGAGAAAGACTTATAGATTCATGAGACTGAACAAACACACTCAAAAGTACTATGAGAGATATCAGTAGGGATGCAAAGCTGAAGCTAGAGCATTCCTTATTCACTTGTCGGGTTGAATATTCACTCTTCAAAGCTTCAAAGTTTTTACTTTTATATAGTACATTACTTTTTTACATGAGTACAATTTGACTGACCATGAGATCGAAGTTGAAACTCTCTCGGAGGGATATATATAATTGTTAATGGTTACAAATACATAATAAAAAAAAATAAAAAAAATTCCAAGGACCATCTTTTTCTCTGA